TCAAGTTTCAGTTGGGCTACTTCTAATCCAGCACCCTGTTGTAGTGCCTAGGAAAGCAGTGGAAGGTGTCCCTAGTCGTTGAGTTCATGCACCCATGTGGGAGATCAAAATGGAGTTAGTGGCTCATGGATTCAGCTTTGCCTAGCCCTGGCTTTTCTGGCCTTTTGGAGAGTGAACCAATTGATGGAAGATTTTCTCTCTGTAACTATGACTTTTGAATACTTATCATCTTTCACATTTTCCTGTTTATAGCAATCCAGGTTGGTGGCTGGTGAACATTTCTTTGTTTTCAGAGATTTATTTATGTGTAAGAATTTCAAGGAGAGAGTAGAGGCAGAAAGAGAGAGAGAGAGATAGACAGAGAGGGAGGGAGAGACAGAGAGAGAGGCATTCCATATGCTGGTTTACTCCAAAAATGGCTGGAATAGCTGAGTTACGATGATCCAAAGCCAGGAGCCAGGACCGTCTTCCATTATCCATGCAGGTACAGAGGACCAAAGACTTTGGCCATATTCTACTGCTTTGCCAGGCCATGGCAGAGAGCTGGATTGGAAGTGCAACAACCAGGACTTGAATAGCTGCCCATATAGGATGCCTGCACTGCAGGCTGCAGCTTTACATGCTATGCCACATCACCAGCCCTGGTGAACATTTCAGCACTGCTTGCTGGGAGTTTCCCCATTGTGAGCCCCTACATTCTCATGAGCCACAACTCAAGAACACACAGCCTCTGCTGTGCCTGTACCAGGAATACACAATCCCCTACTTAGCAAGACAGTGCAAGTGTATTACCACTCATACTGATTTGTTTTCAATATGTTTCAAATTTCATTAATATTAATTTATTTTTTACATGAAAACAGGAAAGACAGACATAGACCTCAAATTTCCATGATTCACATGCGAATGCCTGTAATAGCTAGTCTCAGATGGCAGAACTGGGAGCAAGGTAGTCTATTCAGGCCTCATGCAGTTACTTGAGATATTATTCATGACTCCCAGGTCTGCATCAGCAGCAGGCTTGGGTTGGGAGAACTGGGTATGCAACCCTGGTAACTCTGATGTCTGATGTGGCAATTTATCTGGGATCTTAAGCAACAGGCCAAACATCTGTCATTACAATGTGAGTTTTTCATGTGCTAATCCATCTGGGAGTGTAAGCATATTTCTGTAAGCATATTCTGTCCCAGTACCAGAATATGGTTAACAAGGCAGCATGTATTTCTGCTTTGAAATAAGAACATGGGGCTGGCATTGTGGTATCGGGGTTAATCCCATATGGACTCAAGTTCCTAGACATATTGCAGCACTTTTGATCCACCTAACTGCTCATGACCTGAAAAAGCAAAGGATCATGGTCAAGCACTTGGGTCCCTGTCACCCATATAGGAGACCTGGATGAAGTTCCTGTGTAGGGAACACAGCCTCTTCCAAAGCCTTCTCAGTGAAGGCACTCCTGCTGGACACAGAGTGTGGCAGCAAGTACTGATTAAGAATAATAAATGAACTACTAATAAGAAGAGCACTGAGCCTTGTGGGAATGTTGGAACTCACAAGGACATGCAGTTGCTTTCCCAGACCTTCTTCGGGTGTGTCAGTGGTACAACCCATGCTTCAGGAAGCTAAAGAGTGGGAAGTTACCAATGCTAACTGTGTGCCCTGGTGTTTGACTTCAAAATGCACCTCCCAGCATGAACATCTTCCCTATAATGTTTATAAAGTTAATAAAGATAATTACAGAATATGGGTTGCAAAGTTCTTATACAGTGGGCATGTTAGAGAGAATTGAGGGAAGATACGAAATGGTGCCATGGGATTAGAAAACTTTAGCTAAAATTTTGATTTCCCCAGCTCAGTACACTGTCTGGCCTCAGAAATATATAGATTTCTATTCCATACAAGCCTTAGATAACATAAATAACAAGGTCCCTATCAATCTGGAACAGTTGTTAGGAAAGGGATCCTATTCTGACCAAAGTCAACAACTTGCTTATCCATGATGGGTGGCTTATGTGCAAATCTCTATCATTGAATTAAAGGCTTGGAAATGATTCTTGATGCTAAAGACTCCTCCACCTCCTTTTCTGCAGTTCATCAGGGACCAACTAAGGGCTACATACCCTTTGTGGACAGGTTGGAGAAAGCTATTGCACGTTAGGAGGAGCATCAAGAAGTGACAAAGGTATTGTTAAAAGAAATGAATTGTGAACATGCTAACCAAGACTGCAATATACAGTCTACACTAAGCCTGAAACTACCATGGCAGAAATGATCAAATCATGTCAAACAGTGGGGACTAAAACTCATGGTTTCACTTCATACCTTATGTATATCTATGGATGTTATTGTTTGGTTTCCTGTATCTGTGGAGATTACAAAGAAGAGTGAATACTGATAAAGAATGTTTTGCTATAAACCCCCATATCCCTTGTAATCCCAAACAACTTCCATTGAGTGTCAGACAAATCCAATGGTTTCTCAGGTAAACTATGGTCCTCATGTTCTCCATTGCACCTGTGTCACTGAAAAACCTTTGTCAGGAGCAGTCTCACCATTGCTCTGTTCATTACATAAATGATGCTGAGATTACTGGTCTGAAGTTTGGGAAGGAACTCATTGTGGGGTAGACAGAAATCTGTGAATCCTGGGAGACACAGGAGCTTCACTGCCTGTCCCTCCCCTGTCAGACTCAGGATCTCCTGCTCCCTCCAGGTCAGACCCTATTCACTTCATGGATCAAAGGAAAGAAAGAGCCACTCTAAAGACTTTAACCGCCTCTTTGGAGATACTATCGACCAAGTTGTAATTGTTTTTGGTAATTAGCAAGAGGGAAATGTTTTCACAAATATCATCAGAGTCCAATCTTGTGCTTTTACTGCAGCTTCAGGTGAAAAGATAATTGCAGCTCTGCAGGGAGGTGAGGTCACAGGCACACACCATTTCTAGTGCTCCAACTGCCTCCAGCACCTCATTTCTGATCTTGGTAGCTGAGGCTTGTTGTGGCAGCTGAAATAAATTGTGGGATTTTCCCTGTCAGTGAGAAAGAGAGGCTTCAGGCAAGGAGGCAACCAGGAGTCGGGGTGAGTGATCAGGTGAGAAAGGGGATTTGTCTGTGTTTGTGCCTGGTCCTGTGCCCCAGCCTCACAGGAAGGAGGAAGGATTCTGAGATGTGTGCTTAGCTAGGGCAGGGAGACTGGGTCCTACACCCTACTCCAATCTCTGATGGCTGTTAATAGAAATTGGCTTTGGGGCTGGTGCTATGGCACAGCGGATTAAAGCCCTAGCCTGAAGTACTGGCATCCCATATGGGCACCAATTTGAGTCTCATCTGCTACTCTTCTGATCCAGCTCTCTGCTATGGCCTGGGAAAGCAGTAGATGGCCCAAGTCCTTGGGCCCCTGCACCCTTGTGGGAGACCTGGAAGAAGCTCCTGGCTTGTGGCTTCACATTAGTGCAGCTCCTGTCATTGTGGCCATCTAGGGAGTGAACCATTGGATGGAAGACCTCTCTCTGTCTCTACCTCTCTCTGTAATTCTTTCAAATAAATAAAAGAAATAGAAATTTGCTTCATCCACAGTGACATTCGTTCTTGGTGTTTGATGAATACAATCATGAAATCTTGTGTTTAATGTATTTCAGAACTGTATTTCCAAAAGAGTTCTGCTGTTCCGTCACCTGTACAGGAGTCACAGACTCCACTTTCAGAAGTTAGAGATGCGCCTGAAGAACGCGACATGCTTGTGAAATGGACGAGGACAAACCTACAGAATCCTCCCATCCTGGGTCAATTCCTGGAATGAAATGATTTTCTCTAAGTCTGTCATATGAATTGTTCAATGTACACAGTGACTGTTTTCTGTGGAAAACACCCATGATCCCTTAATTACAGTAAGAATATTTTCCATATTTAAGTAGGGGAAGATTGATTAAGGAAAAGGTGGTTTTATCCTTGTAGTAATGGGTTTCAGATGCTTTCAGTACAACTTTGTCTTCTGATATTTTATTTGGAATGAAAATATTTTCTTCTGAATTACAAGTTCCATAGTTTCTAGTTATAAAATACAGAGAATTGAGACTGTAAAGATTTCATGTACTGTTCATGGCTTATATTATAATATCTTTCAATAAGTTGCCTTATTGAAATTACTTTTACTTAAGTATTAATAAATACATAAGTATGATGTGAAAGTCATATTTAGTTTATAATATACACCATTTTACTATAGACTGGGGTTAATGTCTCTTAGTAAAGGGTACACCATATGTCAGTACTTGTGTTTCAGTTTTCCCTATTATACAAGACAAATAGTGTTTCTATTGGCTTCCTAATATAAAGCCAATTTAGAGTTACTTACATACAATTCCTCAAGGAGAAATACTAGAGAAAATTATACTACCATCAATTTATTTACATCTCAATAATATACTTAAATATTGAATCATTATTGATGTTTGCTTATGCAATCAATCTTTCTGCATAAATGTAAACTTTTACAAACAGAATGATAAATAGTACTACTGGTCTGATAAATTGACAAAGCTAATAAAACAATAAGTGTATGTATGTGCTATTTGAGGAACACAGTGAAGTAAAATCGTTAGAATAATGTCTGATTAATGTAGCTGCTTAAATACAAGTCCAGACAGGTTCAACTTTGCACACACACACAAAAATAAAGTTTGAATTTGGAAAAATCAATAGTCTGTGTCCCCTAAGTGATAATTACATTGGGAATTAGATGACTACTTTTGCCTTTCATGGAGTTATGAATGCAGCAATTACTCACAAGTCTCTTCAGATGAGAAATTCATGTTTTGTTAGTAGCCTTAATAATTACACAACTAACTCTCTGAGAGATGTTCATACTTTTTAGTGTGAGATGATATTAACATAAAGAATGTTAAATTACAGTAGACAATAAAATATGTAGTTCATGCTTCATATTTCCATACATGAATCACTGGATCAGAGAAATAATCAGTCATTGGGAGCTGACGCAATGGTCACCAGAGATTTGACAATGGGGATGATATACTTAGCACAAACCACCACTGGAATCCTGGGGAATTTCTCTCTTCTTTCCCATTATCTCTATCTCTATTTCACAGGATGCAAGTTTAGGCCCACAGATTTGATCATCAAACACCAGACTGTAGCCAACTGCTTAGTCATTCTTTCAAAAGGAGTTCCCCAAACCATGGCAGCTTTGGGGATGAAGCATTTCCTCAGTGACATTGGGTGCAAGCTTGTGTTCTATGTGCACAGAGTGAGCAGGGATGTGTCCACCGGCACCACCTGCCTCTTGAGTATCTCCCAGTCCATCACCATCAGTCCCAGGAAAATTAGATGGGCAGAACTTAAAGCAAAATCTCCCAAATACATTGGGTCCTGCAATATCCTCTGCTGGATGTTGAACCTGATACTAAATGTCATGGTGCCTGTGTATGTGACTGGCAATGGGAGTGACAAAAACATCACAAAGAAAACTGATTATGGCTACTGTCATTCTGTGAGTCATGGCAAATTCACAGATTCCCTGTATGTAGCACTGGTGTTACTCCGAGATGTTTTCTTCATGGGCCTCATGCTGCAGGCCAGTGGCTTAATGGTTTTCACCCTGTACAGGCACAGGCAGCAGGTCCAATACATCCATAGGACCAACATCACCTCCAGGTCCTCCCCAGAGTCCAGAGCCACCCACAGCATCCTTGTCCTGGTGAGCACCTTTGTGTCTTTGTGCACTCTCTCCTCCATCTTTCACATTTGCTTGGCTGTTTTAAACAATCCCAGTTTGTGGCTGGTGAATACCTCTGCACTAATTGCTGGGAGTTTCCCAATTGTGAGCCCCTACATTCTCATGAGACATGACTCCAGGGTGCCCAGCCTCTCTTGTGCCCATTTAAGGAATACCAAATCCCTTATTTAACAATATTGTGTAAACTGCATGCATATTTAAAATGGGTTTTTCTCTATATTTTTCAAGTTAGATGTTTTTACTTGAGAAGTAAAGTGATAGTAATAGAGCTCAGTACCCATTTATTCACTCCTAAAATCTCTTAATAGCCCCAGATCAGAGCCTAAAGCTGTGAACCAGAAGCTCAATTGAGGTGCCCCATGTCAGAGGCATGAACCCAATTACCTGAGCCACCACAACTGCCTCCCAGGTCTGTATTAGCAGGAATCTTGGGTTGGGAGCAGAGCTGGGTATTGAACCTTCATAGCTCTCATACTGGAACTGGCATTCCTCTCTGGAATCGACAATGCTAAATTCTTTGTTCATTGATTTCTCTGGAAGTGGAGGCGCTTTTGTGAAACAGTCACAGTACAAGGATGTGGTAAACAGGACAGTCTGAATTTCTGCCATCGATCAGAAATAAACTGATCAGCAATTGTAAATGATTTTCTAGGTGGTTGTCACATTAATTCCTGTATTGTGGAAATGTTATTTATGTTTCTGGTTCCACTAAGAAATGTGGAGACTATGAAGTCATGGACTTCACCTGAATCTGAAAATGAATATATCAAAAATTAACTAGTAATGGGGAAACAATAAGAGCTCCATAAAGCAGGAGCAACATTTCAGGTGGGGATCAGAACAGAGAAAATGAAGAAAGTCCCCATGGAACAATGAATAGCATGGAACTTGGTGGAGGGAAAGCTCAGTTTCCCAGAGTAAAAGCCTTGAGGACCACACGGAGTCCTATGCACTACTTACGGGGATAGCAGTGCTGGGCCAGGCCAGAGCCAGAGCCAGGAGCCTCATACAGTCTCTCTCCTGGAGGACAGGGGCCCAAACAACTGTGCCATCTTCTCCTGCTTTTCCCAGGTTATTACCAATCTAACCCTTCCACGCAATGTGTGTGTGTGTGTGTGTGTGTGTGTGTAAGTTTATTTCCATGTGTGTAGACATAGATACTTGTGTTACTATATGAACACATGTAGAGAGATAAAATCAAATTATATTCACACTTTATCAATCAATAACATCGTAAAACCATGAAGTAAGAAATCCAAAGTGATGCTAGAAAGAATGACCTCACTGTCTACTCTGATGTGCATGTCCCCGTGTGTAGGACACTACAGAAAACAAACCCTGGCTGTAAGGTCAATGACAGCTGAAGGCGCCCTGGAGGTCTGGCAGGGCCGACATTCCCTGTCCCTCAGCTGTATGACACAACCCAGGCTGGGGATTTCCAGTCCTGGCCCAGGGAAGCCCAGCAGACAAGACCACCCCAGCACACAGGCAGCTCTCACTCATCTAAAGCACAGCTTCCCCTGCAAGCTCAGCTCCAACTCCCTGTAGGACAGAAACTCCTAGTACCTGACCTAGGTTGAATACAGACATAAGGAAGGGGCTGATTCACACACAGACCCTGAGGGAGGTCTTTGGAAGGAACTCCTTATGGCTGTCCCAAGACTGTTTTCTGTCCAGGCCACCAGTCTGGTCCTAGTACCTGTCTGTGGGAGTCCTGCTAGAATAACCTTCCTGAGAATCAGTCCATGCCTGAGACTCATCTTTGACATGGAGCTCACAGCAGGAAGGAAGGGAATCACCCTGGGAAGCTGCTTAACTTGGACAACCTGAAACCCATTTGCATTGCCAAGTTCGTTGTTCCATAGTGAGATTCACGAGGAATACTTTGTTTCTACTTTTTTCTTTGAATCCTTAAGCATTTCATTTAATAAAATTCAATAGAATTCATTAATAAATAGTAAAGTATTAGGAGTAGTTTAAGGTAAACATAAAAGTGTATAAATTTGGCCATGAAATGGTGCACAGAGGGTTAGTATAAGTAGCAAAAATGTTCTGTGTATGTCTGCAAACAAAAATGTAGTAGAAATATTTTGAATGATTCACCATTCAGAAATGACACCTGTTTAAGGAGGTAGATATGTTTCTCTTGTTTTCAATATTAGAGTGTATACACATATGAGAACAACACATAGTACACCATATGTATGTAAACTATTACTTCTCAAGTAAAAATAAAATGGCTTAAAATTGTATGTTATATACACACATATAAGCTAACACTCATATATCATTATGTAATGGATCCATCTTCTTGTGTGACTTTCATTTTATCTCTCCCATTGTCTTATCTAATTTCTTCTAGATCATAAGGAAACTCTTTTTTCTTACATTTATGAGACTGCATAATTAGCTGCTTATAAGTAAATGCAGGGCTTAGCGCTGTGGCATAGCAGGTAAAGCCACCACCTGAAGTCCCATCATCCCATATGAGTGCCGGTTCAAGTCCCAGCTGCTCCACTTGCAATCCAGCTCTCTGCTATGGCCTGGGAAAGCAGTATAAAATGGCCTAAGTCTTTGGGCTCCTGCACCTGCGTGGGAAGACCAGAGGAAGCTCCTGGTTCCTGGCTTGGGATTGGCGCAGCAATGGCAGTAGTGGCTTATTGGGGAGTGAACCAGTGGATGGAAGATGTCTCTCTCTCTCTCTCTCTCTCTCTCTCTCTCTCTATCCTTCTCTCTGTGTAACTCTGACTTTCAAATAAACAAATAAATCTTTGCAAGAAAAAAGTAAATGCAACGTTTTTCCTTTTTCCTATTTTGATTCTTATAGTTTAGAAATACAAAAGTACCTCAAAAAGTTCTTGAAAACTGGAAGATAAGTTTCTTTTGGTGCAAAAATTTTATAAAATTCATGAATAGTTTTGTGAGGATACTAATTTTCCATGGCCTTTTGGAATTCCATTGTCTGCATAGATTTTAACTTGTGTTAAACAGAAAAGAAACATGGATATATTTTTAATTTTAAATTCTTATTGGCAAAAACACTTGCATACATTCTATATTCCTGGGAAACAAAATGATGTCTCCCTGTGTGTTTACATTGTGGGGTGATTATGTCAAGCTACATCTAGAAGCTAACCCCTTTTCTACCATTCCAGCATAGTGTCTATGAAACATCAATGTGTAAGAAATTATCTAGGAACCCTGTCACATGTAGACTGTGATCAGGTTCAGGGGAGGTGGAGCCTGAATTTCAGCATTAAATTCCCAGAGCCTCTAGCTGGTCAGCTGACCGCACAGGGAGGAGCAAGAATCTACAGAACTGAAGTAAGAAAACCCCACCATCCCTCAGAAAACCTGAAAACACTGCAACTTGGACTCAGACACAAGTCAACCGTGTTCCAGGATTGAAAGAACTGATATATTTAAGTGAACATACCACCATAGGATCTGCAGATTCAATGCAACCTCTATCCAATTCCTAATAGTATTTTTTACAGAAGTAAAAATAAATCCTAATATTCATATAGGCAGAAAAAATAACCGTAAGGAACCAAAACAACATCCTGAGGAGCCAAGACAATCTTGAGAAAGAATAAAACTGGAAGCCCCACACCCCTTGGTTTCACAATATTTTACAGAGCCACAGTGTCCAAGGAGTAGGATACTTGGAAAGTCAGACACATGGACTTCATAAAGCAGAATGGGAGCCCTAAAAGGAACATTCATAGATGATCCATTAAGCTTCAGCAAGAATTCCTGGGGTACACAATGGGGTAAGAAATATGAGTCCTTACAATAAATGCTGTTGAAAAAAAAAAAACAACTGAGATCAACACAGTAAAAATGCAGTTGTACCCTTAACACATTCTGTAACAAAACCAACTGAGAGTAATTAAGGTTTAAGTATGATATCAGGAGCCAGCATTAAGGCTGGTGAAGCTGCCATCCATAACCATATGGGTACTAGTTTGAGTCCTAGCTGCAATGCTCCCAATCCAGCTCCCTGATAGTGGGCCTGAGAAAAAAGTGGCAGACAGCCCAAGTGCTTGAGCCCCTGTACCCACTTGGGAGACCTGGTTGAAGGCCTGGCTTAGACCAGGGGTTGCAGTCATTTGGGGAGCGAATCAGCAAATAGAAGATTCTCTAACTCTGCCTTTGAAATAAGTAAGTAAGTAAATAAGTTAAGTAAAAGACCTGAAACTGATGGAGGAAGCATGGTACCTAGCAAGCATTTGCTGAGGCCACCAGCCTCTGCCCACAACCCAGCCTGGCCCACCCAAACCTCCTCCCTTGTCAGGCAGTGGAAAACCGTGATTCCTGCAAGACCACTGCTGAGAACAGGCACCAGCTAAATTACCATGCTGACACTGCTACAACCATCGTGCTCTGATGCCACGATACTTCCACTATTTCCATGAAGGGGTAAGGACAACCTCCAGGGAGTCAAGCCCCATACAGAAACTCCACCCCCAGCAATATTCAGTGAGACCTGGCTGCAGATACCACTTCAAGGTTCCAGTCACATGAGTCAATGGACCTGCACCTCCTGGAGGGCCTCCCACTCTAGAGCATGCCTGAACTCCTTCATGTGTGTGTACTTACAGTTTTCATGCAAATCAATATTTTCTGTAGACTTTTACCTGTATCCTGTTTGTGTCAAAGACAAGAACCTAGACACAGCTACCCCACAACAAAACCATAAAATTCTTACAGGATAACAGGGGAAAGCTCCTTGACATTGGTCTTAGTAATAATTTCTTGGATGTATGACACCAAAAGAACAGGAAACAAATGCAAAAATAGATAAGCAAGATAGCATCAAACTAGACACTCTCAGCACAACAAAGAAAGCAATCAATGTAATATAAAGGAAACTATGAATTAGATTCCGGCAAGATGGCGGAATAGGAAGGGAGCACAATGATAGTCCGGGAAGAGACAGTTTAATAAAAGTAGAGATACTGCAGGTTCAAGGAAGAGTTGGGGGAAGAAACAGCAGAGGAAACTCTTCTGGAACTAGAGATTCACGGTGGACCTGCATGGAGGGCGTGGGAGCCCACCGCTCGGGACACCAGTGGCACCATCTATGCAGCAGCACTGGAACGTGAAGTGAGCTGAATCTCAATAGCCCGAGACACCAGCAGGAAAGCAGAAGGAGGAGCCTAGAGGGA